CGGATAAATGCGGAGCTGTGTTGATGTGTGACATGGCTCATATCAGTGGTCTTGTGGCAGCCAAGGTTTGAAATTTGATATCTGAACTCTAGCTCCTTTATTTAGTTTGTGAAGTTTCATTCGTTAGCTATTATTGTTATTATTGCTTCATAGCATATCACGATCTCTTGGTTAGAAACTGGTATAAACGGTATTTTATCATTAAGTATAATGGTTGAGCTGTTTATTCATAAACAGTAGTATAATAAGTTAATAACATGCAAGTAATTCTTTTGGTTGCCATATGGCGGTCTAGTGGACTTTATGTTGACTTTCTAATATATTAGATAACTGCTGGTTTTCTTTATGGGTGTCAAATTTCCGTTTCAAAGGACATAAAATTCTTGAAGGTGCCTGCTCCACAGTATTTCATGCTTTAGGTTAGAAACTGGTTTCCTGTTTTTCATAATGCATTGTGTTCCATGATTCTTGGTTCTCGTGTCTCATTTTGTGCATTCTTCAACTTGATGTTTTTTATGCATCGCAACTGTTCCTCATTTGAGAAAATGTCCGAATTATATTATGTTATGAAATGACATGAATGCTCTAGTGCTGTGATCTGATTTATTGAGAAAGTATAATACTTCATAAATTTTTTAATCCCTTAGGATAGATGAGGACACCGTTAATGCTGTTTGTGAAACTCGTTTCTTTGTTATGTTGGTTAGCCTTCCAATATTGATTTGTAATACTTGTTTAGAATGACTTACCTTCCACTGTTCACCTCTTGTATGGATTATCTGTTTGTAGCTTAAGGTGGGATTTAGCTATTTAATAGGCCATACTCATATTGGTTGAAAAAAGGAGTATCTGCAATCTGTTTCTTACATACCCGCTACTGTTCATTACAGGAATGTGCAAGCCCATTTGATTATTGTGATGTTGTTACGTCAACAACGCACAAAAGTCTCCGGGGTCCTAGGGGAGGTATTATTTTTTACAGGAAAGGCACAAAATTAAGGAAGCAAGGTGTACATCATACTAATGACGGTAGTAACAATTATGATTTCGAGGAAAAGATAAACTTCGCTGTTTTCCCCTCCCTACAAGGTGGTCCTCACAACAATTATATTGCTGCTCTTGCCATTGCCTTAAAACAAGTAGCCACTCCAGAGTATAAATCTTACATGAACCAGGTGAAGAGAAATGCACAAGCCTTGGCTAATGCTTTGTTAAGAAGAGGATGCAGATTGGTTACTGGGGGTACTGATAATCACTTGCTGCTTTGGGATCTGACTGGTATAACAGGTATTATAGTGTTAGCCAAGTCCAATTTACAACTAGGATTATGAAATTATATTTCCATGTAGAGGAACATCTACTGTTTAACTTTCCAGTTTTGTTATCATTTTAATCCGATTGGTTTTTTATAGTTAGGTCAAAATTCAAGTTTACATACCCTTTCATGTTGGCATTACATGATTGCTTTTATAAGCAAAAACATGCCCGAGGCCGGGCGCTTCTCTCTTAAGGAAGAGGCGGCGTGGTATTCCACGGGAGAGGTTTATTCGTGGCGCACGTTAGTGCGTTGGGCTCACATTAACAACCTGACTTCTTTCTTAAAAGGGGGTTGCTTTGGGGGCTTCAAGGCCACTCTGCTGCTCAAGTTTTTTGCAGCATGTGTGATCTGTTTGCCCTACATCTTTTCCCTTTTTATTACATGATTGCTTTTGTAAGCCAAACAGAAGGTGAGTTGCTTTAAGAACAACATAAATATGTTTTTTGCAAACATTAATAGTGAACTTCTGATCATTGATAATTTTAACATAGAGAGAGGAAATGTGTGCAGAGCTGCTAGTTAGGGGAAGCTACATTTGATCGATCACCATTTTGAATGTTTATGCTCTGGGAACCTCTAAATACTTTAAATTTTTGTGGGTGCATGATACTCCGCACACTTTCTGTACAAGTCTATTTATTAGCTAGTTTATTCCCAAATGTGGATGATAGTGGGAGGTCTTATCTTTTCAATAGTTTAAGAAACATCTTTCATATAATCTTCTTTCTCGCTGTTCCAATTTTAAAGCATTTGCCTACATTTTCGCATCCAATCTCCCCTCTTTTTCTTTCTCTCACTTTGCTTAAACTTGCAATGTTATGTAATTTTAAGGTCTAATTTTGTACTTTGCTATCTTACCCCTTTCCTATTTACAATTTAAATGATATAGGTAAGAACTTCGAAAAGGTCTGTGAGTTGTGCGACATCACTCTCAATAAAACTGCTATATTTGGTGATAATGGTGCTCCTTCTCGTCGGGGAGTGAGAATTGGTAAGTAGCCTTTGTCATTTGAATTTGATCTATTTCTGAAAGCTGCAGATTACGCTTGAGTTTTTATTATGTGGACATCAGGATCAAACCATCTCCCCATTCTTTTTTAAAGTCGGTGTATCCTCGTCTGTTTTTCCTCCTGTCTCTTTGTGATGTGATGAATTTAATTACTCGGCTTGCATGCCTCTCAGCTTGTTTTTCTTTTTATTATCCTGTGGCGTAATTTCGTTTTTTCAGGTACGCCTGCTATGACTACAAGAGGTTGTGTGGAGGCGGATTTTGAAACAATTGCAGACTTTCTTGTAAGGGCTGCTAAGATCACTGCTTCTGTCCAGCTGGAACATGGAACATGTCACAAAGATTTTATCCAAGGTCTCCAGAACAGCAAAGATATTGTTGAGCTCAGAAATCGGGTCGATACATTTGCGTACCAGTTTGAAATGCCAGGATATGATTGATGTCCAAACGCGTGACAGCTTTCATGCATGTGCAGCTTGTTATCCTTGCTTCTGTGGCTTACACCTTGCTTTCGTGGTAACCGTACACGATCCTTACTTTTTGACCGCCTGTTCTGTTTTCCGATTATCTCGTGTAAATTACTGAGGAATACCAGAAAATATGTTGCCGATTTTCACAAGTAGACCTTGTTCCCGCATCCCTGCCTGGCAATTTCTTTATGATTTCTGTATAAATTATAGCGAAGTAATTGTTAACAATCTGCATATATGTGAATGTGTAACCGAAAAGTATCGAGTTTGGTCTCGTTTGTTAGCTATTGTTCTTCGTCTAGTTGGCAATGCCGAACCTCTACGGGTCCGTTCGGTTTTTGTTCCCGAGAAGCGTATTACGCGGACCAGGGGCCTCTAGTTAGTGCAGCAGTTCATGTAACAAAAGTTTGTGTGCAGCATTTTGCTCTTTTACGTACACCACATTTGCTTGTCGTATTCAACATTCTGCAGTTCTTTTTGTCATGCCTCGTAAAGAAGCTGAAATATCAAGCTGCACCGTTCTTTCAATGGGCAACATTTTTTTGCCTCTTTCAAATGATCATAATAATTGCATATGTGGGTTTAGGCTAATTGACAAGGACAGTGTGCCCGTCTCTTTGCATTGAAGACCTAATTTCTCACTCGGTGAATTAGAGTAGTTTAATACATCGTCATCTTGGAAAAGAAAAAGGTTCATTGTAACGGATGGTGGGTTTTTTGTTGATTTTAGTTGTTTTGCTTTCAACAATATTTAATTGATTTTGCTTGCCATGGACTCCTTCAAGGGAGGCAAGACATGAATTTCTTTTCCGGCGAGGGACAGGAAGCATGAGATACGGTTGAGAAACAAGAAAAGTGACCCATAATTTTCTGCCCTTTATTTTGTAATGTTTCTCCAAATTCCCAAAAGAAGGTGGAAGAAAGAAAATCATCTGCGTGAAAGACGGTTGTATACAATTATGTCTCTATCTTGACTTATTACGAGATTAACTGGTACGAAATCTTTTTCATGAAAAAGTTATACCACCAAAAACTTATATCTAAAGACTCAAAGAATTGCATGAAAATACATGATTAGTTTTATACAATTATATATTCGGTGACTAATTCGTGAAATGTAAGTTTTTCTCGTGATGGGATAGAAGGGTTAAGAAGAGACGTGGAGGAAGAAGATGATGTGGTGAGAAGGTTTCATCATGAACACCATTGCTTTCGAACTTGGAAGTGAACCGAATCAGACAAAAGCTTCTGAGGATCAAAACAAGGTGCTTTTTTTGACATTAAAGCAACCAAGGAATCAGACTACAGTCCCAAGCCGCCCTTTTCATCATTCTTTCACAACTAAGCACCAACTCTTTCGCAGTTCATGAAAGCGATTTTTCTTGGGCATCTACAGGCACTGAGTGCTGATATTTTTTTAACTATTAGATAAGTTCAACTGTCACCGATCATTAACTTTAAGTTGCTAGATTAACTCCAACAAATAATTGTGAAAGGACACTCAGTGTTTGTAGGTACCGAAAAAAGTGAATTGCCAAACAAGACCCCAACAAGGGAGATATTTTCAAAAGAATTTTCCCTTTTATTTATTTTTTATTTATTTATTTTTAGAACAGACCAAAAGAATCATATACTCTGATAAATTAATGGGATATTATCAAATAAAAGTTTGAATAAATAGGATTTTGATTGTGCATTTAAGTCTAAAAGATAATATGACAGAAGCTTCCATTCCTTCTTTTTCCTCTTTTGCTCACCCAATCCGTTTTTACTTTCACTTTTTCTTCTTTGAAATTAATTCTTTGACGAACTTGCACTTGCATAAAATATAGTTCAAAATTGGATTTAGGACTAGGTCTTCTCAACCCATAATTGCATTTCTTTTTTTCTTTTCTTAAAAAAAAAAAGGATTAAATGATAGATTTGTCATGATAGTTCACTCTTCTGTGGGGTGGGGCGGGCCGGGGGAGGAAGCCTTTTAGCCTCTTCCTAACCATCATCGTGTGATTCACACACGTCAGGGATCGAACCTAAAACGTGCCGTGTGATATACGAATTTAGAATTCATTCATAACCACCATTTTTTTTAAAATATAACGATACCGTATTTTTAATTTGCATTATAAAAAAAAAAAGGTGGTAGAAGTTTGAATTTGAAATGCAGTACGATGAAGAAAAATTCTTACTAGGCAATCCAACACTGGCCAAAAATTAAATATAATAATAATAATAATTAATAATGAATTCTATTTTACAAGACCGAGTTCAGGGTTTCTCCAAATACCTTAATCTAGTGAAAGAGGATCACGTTTAAGTACACATTGACCTAATGACTTGACGCACAAATGCCACCAGTAACTTTCTATCCTCTTTCGATATGAGAATATTCGATCATAATCTAGTTTAAATTACAGAATGAGCTATTCGAACTTTGAGTTAAAAAAAAAAAAAAAAGCACACTATTACAACAAACTTAGCAACCTCCATATCAACTGCTAAAAACATGAGATGCCAAAAACAAGAGGACATGTAAATACCTGTCCTACTGCTACGTAAATTTTTTATTTTTTATTTTTTTTACCTGTGACTGCAAAAGTCCAAGAGCTTCTTCCTCCCCTCAACAATTTCATCAAACAAATCATCAAGTTGGCTCACAATATTCTCAGAACCAGAAGTCAACACCCCAAAACACTCTCTCAAATTCTCCACTCTCTCTCTAATCCCACTCTCCCAATCCATCACTCCTCCCTGTGGGCCCTTCCTCTCCTCCAGTTCACCTCTCAGCTCCTCCATCGCCGCCTTCGACCTCCTGAACTCCCACACCAGAATCCCAGGCCTCTCGCTTATCTGCCCTATCTCCGCCGCCACCCGCTGCTGCAGTCTGGCCGTCGATATCATGAACGGTGATCCGAAGATCATGCGGCCCTCGTAGTCGTCGTCTCCTTCCCTGCAAAAGGTTGAGTCCTCCGGCGAGCAGAAGACCAGTCCGTACAGCAAGACCATGAGAAGCAGAGAGCTCACGTTTCTCATTGCGTACAGGACTCCCCTGAACCCGCTGAATCCATTAAGCTTCGATTCGACGGCGATCCTTTCGTCGAATTTCAGTGAGAGTGGTTGGATTCTCGTTTCCATCAGCGCTCTGTTCTCTTCCTCCAATCCAAACGCTTCCCGCCGCCACCGAGAAATCGCGCGCACCACCTGCTGACATGACAGAACGCATGAGTCTTTAAAAAATTAATACGAGTTTTGAGAGAAGTTTGAAGATTGTGATCAGAATTGAAGACCCACCTGGCGGGAGAGCTGAGGAGTGAGATGGTGGTGAGAGTCGAGGAGGGTGGAGGTGATGGTGTGGCCGGAGGTGCAGAAATTCTCCATAGCAGAGACGGCGGATTTGAGGACATGGCAGGCTTCCCAAAGCTTGGAGCTTTCGTCCATGTACTCGTCAAGCCACTTGTCCCCAACAGGCAGATGGAGCCTTTGGACAATAAGGGTCAGCTGGGAGTGGAAAGATCGAAGAAGGGTAAGAGCCCCTTGAAGGAATTGGATTGACATGAAGTTGCTGGAAAGATAAACCCTTTCGAGATCGTCCACCCCACGAGCCAGAAAGGAATAGAAGCCATTGACAGAGTTGGTGGAGGAAGGATCATCCATGTTTTAGCTTGTTTTCTTTTTCTTTTGGTGCGTGGAGTAAAAAGAGAGGGTGCTATTTGAATTTAAATGATGCGAGGATTGGAAGGAGTTGAGGGATGGAAAGGAAAGGGAATGAAATGGGATTGTGGCAAGGAGGGAGAATCTTACAAGGAGAGGAAGCTCAGGTTTCCAAGGTTGAAAACGATTGTTGTTGGGAGCAATGATGGGTGTTTCCTATGGAGGGGAAAAGGATGCCGTTTTCATCGTTTTAATGGGATGAATGTTGGGCTGGAAAAAAATTCCTAAACTTCCCGATCCCGACCGAAAAATTCCCAACCCCAAACCGAAAAATTCCCAACCGACAAATCCCGAACAGATCGGTTACCCATATCGAACCGAAACCGAAACTTTTGGTACGGATTTTCGTATTCAACCTACCTTCGTTCGAAAATCCCGAACCGAACCGAACAATTTTTATATATAATTAAATATATAGTTTTAATTATTATAAACCGTTGGATTTGGTTGAGATTTAATCTCAACCGTTCGTTTATAATTAACCCTAACCTTTCTAGGCCTCACTCTCACTGTCTCTCTCTCGACTGCTCTCTCTCTGTTCTCTCGACTCCTCCTATTTCTTCGCCTGTCAGTCCCCGTCTCTAATTCTCCTTCGGTCGATCTCAAACCCAGCCACCAGCACCACTCTGTCGGTCGATCTCGAACCTAACCACCACCACCACCACTCCGTCAGTGGATCTCGAACCTAGCCACCACCACTACCTTGTCCGAGTCTCGACTCCGACCACCTCACCATACCCTCTCATCTCGCTCCAGCCACCATACAAACAACAAGCAAATCAGGTTCAGCATATCCAGCAAGCAGGAAGGAGTAGGAAAGAGATGGCCCTAATCACAAACTCACTAGTATCAGAATCGAAAGCAGCACCGGATTGGTTGGAACTAATTTTCTCCGGTTGATGCAATTTTGTTTGAATTAAAATTAGATTTCTAGGGTGTGTGAAAATTGGGTTCTAGGATTTGGATTTGGATTTGGTTTCTGCAATTAGGGTTTTTTCTAGGATTTGATTTCTGCAATTGGGGTTTCTGTAATTTTTGCAATTTGGATTTGATTTTTGCAATTGATTTTTGGAATTTGGATTTATACAATTGTCCCGAACGATACTAAAATCGCCAAAATTATTCGGGAATCCTATAATTTTGGTTCAGTTTCGGTTTTGAGATCCCGTCCAGAAATGAATTGGTTTGAGATTCGGGTTACCAGTTCGGTACGGGATCCTGATCCGAATCAGCCCCAGATGAAAGGATGTGTGAAAAATTAAAACTTAGCCTAAAAATACCCAAAAAAGGAAGATATGTGTATTTGTGAATTGAGAGAGAGAGAGAGAGAGAGAGAGACGTACAACAAAAGGAACAAAGAAATTTTCATGAGCTCAAATTCAATTGCTCATTATCAGTGTTCCAAAAAAAAAAAAAAAAAAAAATGCTCATTATCATCAATTTTAGATGCATGAGAGGAGGCACTATGAGAATTTTTTTGGTAGGACACTCTAATTACGTCATACCGTGCCCTCTACTTACGTCATATGTATGATAGCTACGACAAATAAGTAAGACCCATTCTATTTGGGTTCTACTCGGCCCCACCTTGGCCAAATGTTGTTGTACAAAGAGTCTGGATTCTCGTCGGATCTTCTTTGTAAGAATTTTAGGAATTCGTAAATCGTATCTATTCATCATAGATTGTATGGTCAGAAATTATTTTAAATATTTTTATTTAAAAATAAATATAAACAGTACTTGACAAAAACTGATCGGACAATGTACGATGAACGGATACGATTTATAGATCCATAAGATCCTCACCAAAAAGATTCGGAGAGGATCTTGTTGGTTGTACAAAATAAGAAGGTGGATTATCTACCCTCCCATTTCCATACTCTCCTTATGCCCTCCTGTGATGTGTGGTTACGGTTAAGCCACGTCAACATTTTATATTAATTTTTTTTTATAGAAATAATAAAATAAAAAGTAATAGGAATATAAAATGTTGACGTAACTTAACCGTGACTATACAAACAGGAGGGGATGATGAGAGTATAGACATGGGAGGGCAGACAATCCACCTCTACAAAATAAAGTGTGTGAAGTTGAGTTGCAGCAGGTTCAGTGGTACCATGGTGTCGAGTCTTATAATGAAATGCTACATGAAGAGAAAGTTACACATGGTAATATATTATTCGTTCATAACGTTACGTGATAATAAATTTGTTCTGCGTAAGTTTTTTAAATAATCTTTTGATTTGAGTGTTGTTTGGCTTCTTCCTTCCTCCTTTTCATCCTCGAGCTACTGACTTGGCTCCTTAATCCACCTCTAATCTATTGAAATTTGTGGGGTTTGCTTTTCATAGATATTTCTTGTTTTGTTGATTTTTTTGAAAGAGGAGGGGGACTTCAAATTCCGGACTTGGAAATGGAATGATGAGGTTCCTCGCATATGTAATGTGTGTTGTAATTTGTAAATGTGTTGTAATTTGTAAACCCTTCTGACCATGCATAAATAATTAGTCTTTTTAGGCCACATTTTCCTTTAATATATAGTTTTTGCTAATCATTCTTTTCCCTTGGTGACAAAAATTGATGATGCTTCTTCATAAATCATGCCCCTTTAATTTAATCCCAGCCGTTTATTTGGTACTCCTTAAGGACCCATCCAACGGCTAAGAAAGTAAATCTTAGTTTGAAATGATCAAACTGCATGGGTGTTGCAATCCACTCGAGAGATTGTTTAGTGTATTTGAAATACAAATCGGTACATTACGTGTTTGATCATTTCTATCGTTTACATTTATAATAATATATAGTGTTTTCTTTTGACGTCCGAGTACACATAAAAATTTCTTCATCCAATCTACAACTATAAATATGTTTAAAGTTGTGAGGTATATGTTTGTTTATGGCTTACCAAGCACAATACGAATAAGTTCCTTTAAATTTAATATTAATTTCATCTTTAATTATTTATTTATTTATTTTTAAGGGGTTCTTTTTTCTTGATGTGGGGGTTGTTTTTGGGTGTGCGGGGGGGACCAGGAAATCTAATATTATGTTGGGGGTATGAGACATTTTACTTTGTTTTTATATTTTTCGGGTGCTCGTGTGTTTTTGGAAACAAAAATACGACATCTTATGAGGATGTTTGGTCTTTTGAGATTTCATTGGAAAGTGAAGTAGAAGCTTAGGACCAGTGTTATAGGGAATTGACATGGATGTACGTACCTCGCTAGATTTTGGTCTAGGGTAAACGTGATGACATATGATATACATTGCTTATCCATCCAATTTTTTTAGTAATTTTATGGTGTACGATGATATTCTATTGAAGTTAAAATATTTGTATGTATCTTTTATTATATCACGTACAAATAAAACATATCAATCATGTCGCTTGTGTATAATATAACACATGGAATAAATACAACATGTGGCGCTACTACCATACTTGAGAAATGCTGAGAAAATTTGCTTAAGAGTGAGATTCTTCATGCACTTTCCGCCACATTACAATTAAGAAAGTTTCACTTTTAAGAGAGTTTTCTTACTACGGTTTAGTGATATTCATTTTCACTTGTAAGTAAGAGGTCTTAGGTTTAATTCTCACTAAAGATGAATTTGAATCATATTTTTGCTAGTCCATTGTGAGGCTAAGCTCACCCCCTCCTCTTTAGTGTATAGATAATATTGTTTGTTCAAAAAAAAAAAAAAGAAGTTTTGAGAGTTTTCGAATTTTTTTTCTTTTCTTTTTATCCTCCAATTAGTGCTGCGATTGTTTGACTCGCTTTTATTTTATTCTACTTTAATCTTCATTTATTTTCAAAAATAATTCTCATTTAATCTCTAATTGTGTTTAAAAAATTTAATTTCTTTTAGTACAGAGGCAAAATTTTATTGTTTGATGTTTTTGTCGCCCCCTTTAATATCTTATTTTCAACATAGTTTGTTGTGGAATCACAGTATGAACTAGTTTGGCATAAAAAAACTCAACAAGCTTAGACTAAACTTTATGGGTTACCAACTTGAATTGTGCTAGTACAAATTTTGATTTTAAATTCAAAATTATTTTTCTTGAGACATTTCAGTTTGACAGTGAATACCATGAGATTGGAATGTATTTTTTTCCTGGTCAAGTCAGTAGTAATTAATAATCGAACTGTTCACTTACTGATTCCCATCCCATGGATGTTGTACCCGTACTCGCCGTTATAGCAACGCCTGCATTGCCAACTGAACCAGTTGTTATAGTTGGAGGAAGAACATATATAGCTCTCTTTCTTTCGATCAAGTTTCGGAAGAGACTCTTTAACTAATTATGGAGAGTGATTTCTGTACATCATTTTTCACGCTCTGCATACTTGTGCAACACTCATCATATCTCATAATTATAAGAAAAAATAAAAGGACAACAACAAAAACCCAGCTCCACCAGATGTATGTATAGGAAGTTCCTATTCTTGCCAACCAAACAGAAGGACTTCCAAGAATCCAGATATCGCCAAGTAAAATAAGGGCAGGTATTGGATTTAGGTTATGGTGCGTAGGTTGAGGGGTTTGCTTGATTATTAATGGTAAAACATGAACTTTCCTTATAAATTAGATGAAAAAGAATCACAAAGAAATAAGTAGAAAATATATGATAGAGAAATACCTGCAGCTGGAAAAAAAAAAAAATTAGGGTTTTAGATTGAGGTGGTGAAAGTAAACGCACTTGATGGCTAGATTGGTCAAGCAGCATCCCTTCCATCCCCATCATGATAATACCAATAAAAGTCGATCTCTACAGAAGAATGTTTCATTTTCCACTTAATGAGCTTAATTAGATGGATGCAACTGGATGGTCCAGAGCCCTCTCAACAATGAAAATGATACAAAGGAATGAGTCGAATGATTTTAATTCAAATTCAAAGGATATGGTACAAGGGTTTTGGGTTGTCATGGCATCAGGGTTTTTGAGAGTCAAAGATGTTTTCTAAAGAAAGTTGAGGTTCCACTATAAAATCAACTGAAAAAGTGGGTAGTAACCTAACTCCTTATAAAGTTTATTCTTTTTTCTAATGTATGATTTATACTCTCAACACTATCGTCCTGAAGCCTTTACTCTAGAATTTTGGACCTCCATGCCTCATGTTTTCAATTTAGGTTTTTATTAAATGGAAAAGGATCCTCGCCGGATCATTTTTTCTTAGGGATCCGGGGGATCCCGTGATCATGGTCGTTCATCGTACATTGATGCAGTTAGTTTTCGTTAGATTCTATTTATATTTAATTTTAAATTTTAAATTTCAAATGATTTCTGACTGCACGATATACGATGAACAATCGTGATCAAGGGATCCCCCCAGATCCCCAGGAAAAAGATCCGGCGAGGATTCTTTTCCTTAATAAATCTCAACCCTAATCCACCATTCCCATCACTTTATATTACAGTCTAGTTGTGTTTCTTTTCACTTGTAAGTGAGAAGTCTTAGGTTTGATTCTCGTCAAAGGCGAATTTGAACCATATTATTGGTAGCTCATTGTGAGACTTAGCCGAACCCTAATATCATTTGTTCAAAAAATTTAAAAAAAAAAATTCCACCAGTCCCACATTTTTTTGGTATTTTAGTTCCCTTTTCAGAGTCTCCTTTATCCCATCTTCTGTTTCGTTCTTGATCCTGAATTAGATATCGGATATTGGATGAGAGTGAAGATAAAAATACATTTGGAATTGAGATTAAATTTTAAGTATATCAGTTGAAAGGAAGACAAAGTTGGGAAGACCACTATGGTCTTTCAGCGGAAAAGATGCTCCACTTATCCAGACATGGGCAGGTCACTTCCAATTTGGTAAAAAGGTAAACCAAATGCAGGTTAAAGTATCTCTCTAAGCATACTACCACATGTGGCAGCGCTAAATCAAAACAACTGGATGATAATCATATTCTTAAGCTTCCACTTTCTTTTGTTCTCGGCCAACCTGATGAACTTTACCATCAAAAGGTCAAAGACCTAATTAGATTCGGAGATTTTTTATTTTTTAGTATGTCGATATTTTTACATTAAAAAAAAAAGTTTGGCTAACCTACATAATTGGCAGCTTAATTGGGTAGCAAATTCGCTATTCATGAGATTCGAACCTAATACCTCTTATTTTCAAATGAAGATGAATACTACCAAATTCGGAATTTGTTTTAATAAATTAGAAGAAAGAACAATATAAATTTGTCCAAAACTCAACATGCAGAATCATGGGACCTTCTCTTCAATGGAACCGGATCCCCTACAGATCCCATTCGGACCAAATATACAGATCCCCTTCGGACCAAATAAAACTAAGTCTGCTAAGCAAGGGATCCGA